GACATTCCTACGCGACGCAGTCGCGCTTATCCCCCGCCCCCTTCAGGGGGAGGGGTTAGGGGAGGGGGCGACTCTGGTACCCGCTTCAACACCCTCCCCCAAGCCCCTCCCCCTGAAGAAGGAGGGGGATGAAGGCGACTGCGTCGCCGAGGGGTGTCTAAAACGCCTCGTCCTACAACTCGACTACTCATCCCTTCACTGCCCACTGCCGACTGCCCACCGCCCACTATCTACTTCCCACCGCCCACTCTCACCTGCACCTCCTCCCCCACTACGCGCGTCTCGAACACATCGATCCCCAGCCGTGGGTTGTCGGCCCATTTGCCGTCGCTCAGGCGGAAACGCCAGCCGTGCCAGGGGCAGTAAACCTCGCCATCCTCGACGCAGCCGGCGCCGAGCGACGCCCCCTGGTGCGGGCACAAGTCGTCAATCGCCCGGTACTCGCCGCTAACCAAGAAGATCGCCACGAGGCGATCATCGACCACGACCGTGCGGCCTTGGCCCTCGGTGAGGTCGCCGACACGACAGACGGTGACGAACGAGTCGGACAAGCGAAGTGGGAAGGCGAAACCGGGAAGTGGTAAGTGGGAGAAGCGCCAGGGACGTTACTCGGTNNCGGTCGGGGTCGCTTCGGAATCCGTCTCCGTATCCACTTCCGCTTCTTCTTCGGCGGGGGCGCCGAGGGTGGGGGTTTCGTCTTTGCCGAGCTCGCGCATTTCGACGGCTTGCTTCATGCTGTTGACGATCTCGTTCTCGCCCATCTTGACGCGGATATCGACCGTCTGCAGCACACGCGATCGGAAGACGCGGCCCTTCTCGCGGTCGAAGAGGATCTCGCCCGTCGACTCCTTGGTGTCAAAGTCGATCGCCATCGGGCCCTTGTTCTCACCGAGCTCCATCTCGATCGCCGGCGTGAACGCTTCGTAGGTCTTGCCATCCACTTCGCGGACGCCGTCGTAGGTGTAGGTCGTGTGGACCTTCATCTTGCCGATGGCGGGCGAGGTCACCTCGGCGGTGGTTGTCCACTTGTCCCCGACGGCGAGCGGCTCGGTGGGGAACTTGAGCGACGCCTGCTGGCTCATCTGCTTGATCATGTCGCTCGAAACGGCGCCCCCCGGCAGGTTGTCGAGCGCCTTCGACAGCTCGTCGGAGAGGGTGACCTCGGTGATCTCGCCGGTGGGGAGCATCGTCATCTGGAAAGGGTGCGCGACCATCGCGTCGAACGCCGGCGCCACCAGGGCCGCCATCCCCGCGGGTGGGTCTTCGCTGTCGGAGTCGTACTTGAACTCCTGCCCGGCTCCCGCCTTGTTCTGCATGACGATCCGCTCGACCCGTTGCTCCACCACGGCGGCGCCATCCTCCGAAACGTCCTCGACCGCCCAGTCCATGAGCATGTCCTGCTGCATCGACGTCTCGGCCTGCCCGCCCGCCCCCGCCTGGATGG